CCCTGGGTACGAGGTTGGCTACACCACCACTTACATTTTGGATCTCGTAAGCTAATTTTTCAATCTGCTCATTCCAGTAAGTCCAAAGTGACCTTGCACCCAAAATTTCCAAAACTTGTTATTTTTAGAAAAAAGCAAAATGATGCAGTTTAAAGAGTTCTTTAAGAAACCCGTATAATTTTAAGCACACACGTGTCACATTGTATTTTGAGTTAATAAATGGAAAATATTTTGGGTTTTAATTACTGTACAAAATTTCAGACAATTTGCTTTACTTTAAGCCTATTTATTTTTGCTAAAAATCAGCCTTTTGCATGTTTAATTATGCCTTTACCTAATTTGCATATTGCTATTTTGCAAATTAAAACACTTTATGTTCGAAAAATACAATGGTTTTGTCAGCAAGGCGAGGGTTTCAGCATGCATGTATTTTCAATATAATATGAATATAAATATGAATACGAAGGTGAGTTCATTTATCAATCATGGATTCATAAAGTGAATAATTTTAAATATTTTAGATTTTTCTGTCGATATTGTGGAAACAAAATGGTCTATTTAATTGAAATATTTTCCTTTTCTATATATAGTTTCAATTCAGTTATGACATCAACTTATAGCCAACTTTAATATATCTTACCAAATTTATCGCAAAGATCTCCTTGGCATCCCTGGGAACATTTGCATCTGTAAGGATCTGAGCCTGGTCCACCTTTGAGATCAATGACTGTCTTTCCTCCATTTTTACAATTTTTGATATTGTTGCAGGGAACCTGAAAATATTTATCCATCAATCTATAAATGTATTTCAACATTCGTTCGTTCTTTTATTCATTATTCTTTTAAGAATTTGTTAGTGTTGGGCGGGGTATTATGCAAAATGTATCTATCCATCTTTCCTTGCCAAGGACCGCAGAGCGATTGCATAACAAGAATTAAATTCGTGGAAAAATTGACAACGCTCTTCCATGAGCGTGGAAGAGGACATGTTCCCAGAGACTATAAACTCAGAAGGAAGATTTCAAGTCATTTCTCACTGAAATTTTGTTTGTGACAATAATGTGCGTCTTCTGATGATAGATAGATAGATATTTCTGAAAACGCATGTCAAATGTAATGAAATAGTGCTAGATTACATTATTACACATGCACGTACGAGCTAGCGAAGAAAAATATTCAATTCAGTACATAACAAAGTTATAAATAAATTTAGTTGCCCCTCTGCTCAGAAAAATAAATTTGTCATGTATATGCATATGTGTGTATGTATGTATGTATGTATGTATGTATGTATGTATGTATGTATGTATGTATGTATGTATGTATGTATGTATGTATGTATGTATGTATGTATGTATGTATGTATGTGTGTGTGTATGTATGTATGTATGTATGTATGTATGTATGTATGTATGTATGTATGTATGTATGTATGTATGTATGTATGTATGTATGTATGTGTGTATGTGTGTATGTGTGTATGTGTGTATGTGTGTATGTGTGTATGTGTGTATGTATGTATGTATGTATGTATGTATGTATGTATGTATGTATGTATGTATGTATGTATGTATGTATGTATGTATGTATGTATGTATCTATGTATGCTTGCCTATCCTATAGCATTATTAGCAAAACGCCATTTATGGTGATGCATTATGATATATCAGTCCGTAATGTTTGAAGTTACTTAATATCATGCTATTGCTTGAAGGTATCTTCAGATAATTTTCCATATAGCTATAGAGTGCAACATATGAATTATTTTACTGCAAAACTTTTACTTGAGCCATTCAGGAAAATATTATTGAGGAAGCAATAGGGGAAAGGTTTAGCTTGCATCCACTTCCGCATTTCGGATAAGAGCTGGGGTACTGAAAAACCCCTACTGTTATGGGGAGGGAGTGTGGAGTCCATTCCCAGAACAGTTGCGTATTTTCTGATCTCCTGCGCTGATTTTTTAACGTTTTCAATCTCATTATTTTATATATTTAAATTATACAAACTTAACATTCATTATTAAACTTTTCCAGACTGGGGGGG